TGGGGAGGGGGGAGGGAGGGGGGTGCAGCAATTCATCGCTCTGCCCTCTCCCCGACCTCCCCACCAAACCCCATATAATTCTCCTTTCGCCCACTTACGCCCCTCGCCCCCGCCGCCGCCGCTGTCGTCTGGTCTTTCTGCAGACTGATTCCGAGAGTCGTTGTCGTCGCTCCGTCTCTCTCGCACCCGCACGGGGACGCCCCATGAGTGCGAGAGAGACAGAGCGACGACTCTCGGAATCGGGCTGCCGGTCCGCTCGTCCATCGCCCGTTTTTATGGCAGATAATTCCGCGACCTTATTTTTGTTTTTGTTTTTTCGTATTTGTTCTTTTTTTGTTTTTTTTTCGGTTCTATCTGTTGCCAGACATGCATTTCCCGTAGTATTGCTTTTTTCGCTTTTATTAGGGAGTGGCGCTGCGGGGCGCGCTGCATTTTTAATGCAAAGCGAATGACTGACCGGGGCGGTCGGGTCGACGGGGATGACGGGGACGGCGGGGACGGCGGCACGGCCAAGAGGAGCCCTTCCGTTTTATGCCAGCCATCTCCCGCATTCCCCAATTTTACATCCCCGCGATATGGATGCGTCTAATGAGGACACGGGCCTTCCATCAGAGGGCCGCGCACGCACACACACACACACGCACACACCTACACACCTACACACACACACACACACACACATGTCATGAACAAATCACTGATTCTTTCTCCATGGAAATATGCCGTCCTCGAATTCCTTTCAATTCAAACTTTCACGCACACGAAGCAGCGCCGGAATTCAAATTCAACTCCTCCGCGCACTGAGGAGGCGCTACTGTCGCAGGTGGCGAAGGGGCCGCACCCGCAGTGAGCTCACAGACGCGCGCGCGCGCGTACACACACACACACACACACACACACACACACACACACACACACAAAGACACACACACACACAGAGGCGCGGCGTGCTCACACACACAGGACCGATATTCCCGATTGGGACGGCGAGGGGAGGCGAGCAGACGGCGCCCCTCTCACCGCCGCTTGATTCAATTCACCTGTTGCTTCTGATGACAAAATCTATCGGCCGTGCGATGGGCGTGGTGCGGGGCGTGGCGGGGCGTGGCGGGGCGTGGCGGGGCGGGGTGGGGTGGGACGGGGTGGGGCCCTCGCTGAATGGCGGGGGCGGGCCGACCTATTGACCATATGCACAGTGCCCAATGGTCGGGGCAGTTCTTGAAGTTGGTCCGGTTGCCTACCCTCGGGGCGGCCGGATGGGGAGGGACACCGCAGGCGGGGCGGGGCGGGGCGGGAGTTTAGGGCGAGGGCGTGTAGTTGTTGAGCGGCCCCAGGCCCTGCCCTACCCGCCGATCCCAAGGGCGGCAGAGCCCCGCCGGGTGTGAACTGCGAATTGTGAATCGTGAATTGTGCATTGGTGGCGCTGCGCGGGGGCGGCGCGGGGGCGGCGCGGGGTGGAGGGGCCGCCGGCGGGGGTTGGCGGGGGTGGGCGGGGGTGGGGGTAAAATATGATAATGGACTGGAAGTAGAGGAACAGGGGGACTGGAATTCGGTGCCATTAGTTTGAATAGCCCATAACGCCAGCGGCCCTGGACGCGGCGACGCAGCCACCGCAGTACCAGCCAGTGCAGGGCGGGGCGGGGCGGGGCGGGGCGGGGCGGGGCGGGGCGGGGCGGGGCGCGGCGGGGCGGGGCGGCGGTCCTTCGGGGAGTGCCCGAGGCCACCATGTGTGCCGTGCCGCTGGCGGTGGCGTCAGTGGCGGTGACGCATAGAGTCGAAGCGTTTCGGAAAAGCGGCGCGCTCGTCCAGGCCGCGACGCCGCGACAATACGGCGACTGTTATACCTGCCCATTACCCCTATTACGGGCAACGACGGCGCACGACGGCGCACGACGGCGTCCTCGTCCCGCTAAAGGCCGCCATCGCCGTGATGACGCTGTGCTTGGCTCGCATCGCGTCGCGCCGCGTCGCGGCGTCGTCTGCCCGGGGGAACACATTGCCGTGGACATTATCCCGGGCAGGACGTCGTGGCTTTTGATGGAGCAGGCCGGGCACGCCGAACCGGGCGGCCCGGGTCGCGGAGCATCAATTCGTTAAACAAGCTGGAACAGCCCACTTCCCCGCCATGATTATAACGATGGCACAGTGGGCCGGCAGGCCGGTGGAGGCGGACAAAACCCTACACGCGTTTCGAGCTCCAGAGTCGCTAAATGGAACTCGAACCGAACGTGTGACCCCACCAATGGATTCCTCGTCCGGAGAGCAATCCGTTGGTGGGGTCACACGTTCGGTTTGGGTGGGCCTCACTTGGCGACTCTGGAGCTCAAAACGCGTTCGGTCTGCAGACTGATTCCGAGAGTCGTTTTCGTGGCTCTGTCTCTCTCCCACCCATAGGGGAAGCCTCGATGAGTGCGAGAGAGACAGAGCGACGAAAACGACTCTCGTAATCAGTCCGCTGCACCGGAGAAAAATGGACGCCGAAAAGAAAAGTCGTCCCATTCGTTTCTTAACCGGGAATGAATAGCCCGAATGAAACATCCACGCGCCGCGCCGCGCCACCCCGAGGCGGCCGACTCTCTCCAGTGTCGCGGAGTCTCGCGCCGAGTCCACGGCGGGGCACTCCTCGGTGTGCGGCACACTGTGCGCGTGGCGGACAAACAAGGCCGCCGCAGTGAAGAGGAGGCGGCGGCGTCGCGCACCGAGTCTAAGATACCGCCAAAGTTTGGGACACTGCGCACCGCCACGCACTGCGTGCCGCGTGCCGCCTCGTTCGTGTTTATTTGTGGCAAACGCGCAAAAGTGCGACTCTTCATCATTGCATGGTGGCGTGGCGCGGCGGGAGGCCGGCGGGAGGCGCTCTGTTTAGTCTCGCGGCGACAAGGTGAGTCCGCACTGTAAAAAATTTTGACACGAAATTTCGTGTTGTGGCTGGTGAAACGCCCCTTCTTAGTTATACTTCTAATGAATTTCGTGTGCCAGTGGCAATGAAATCTCGTTCGCCATGGCACACGAAATTTTGCTGGCCACTGGCGATCAGAAGGCTTCTTCCTACGCCAAATGGCAATTTTTGAGTCGTGGCGCTGGCAAGGATACTCGGAACCAATATTGTGAACTTTCTAGTTGTGGCGAGGAGAATTCGTCTCGGGCCGATGAAAAAAGCGGCACGCGCGGTTGGCATAGAACCCCAAACTTCAACTTGGATGTCTTGTGCCCTGACCCCTCGGCCACCGCACCGCTGCTTGGCAGAGCGCTCGACGGAGCTTCATCATGGACTCGCGAGGACTAGTCTGGCCACCACCAGGTGCGGCGAAGCAAAGCATCCTTCCCTTAGCCACGACTTGAAATTTCATAACTGTCGTCAGGGTAGGATGCCTTTTCAGTGCCACACCTATGATTTTTCTTCGCCAAGGGGCTGTTAAATTTAAAGTCGTGGCTGAGGGAAGCATCGTTTTGTTAGCCAAGCGGTAAATTTCACGTTTCGAACTTGGAATTTCATAAGCCACTGGCACTATAAATTCACTGTCGCGGTTTGGAAAGTGACCTTTCCATAGCCAGTGGCGCTTTAAACACACTTTCGTGTCTGGCTAAGAAAATTCAAGAAGCCATTGGCTACATAAATTTAATGGTATTTTTTACAGTGCGTCTCTCCTCGTGCTGCAGGCTGATTCCGAGAGTCGTTTTCATCGCGCTGTCTCTCTCGCACTCACGGGGCGTCCCGTACAGGTGCGAGAGAGACAGAGCGACGAAAACGACTTTCGGAATCTGTCTGCTGCGGGACGAGGAGAGACGAACTCAGCTTGTCGCCGTGAGTCGATACAGAGCAGCGTCCGGTGGTGCGAGAGAGACGTAGCGACGGAAACAACTCTCGGAATCAGTCGACTGCATTCTCACTGAACCCACCAACCACCACCAATCCGCCACTGGTTACTGGACCTCACTGTGAAGAAGTTAAACCGGGATCGACGAGTAAAATTTGCATTTCGATTATGAGAGTACCCTGTGACTTTTCGTCAAAACGACTCGAGTGTAGCCGAAGTAACTTTCCTTTGTGATACAACAGTGTGGTGGCTGACTGAGACTACGCCACTGGCTGCCGGCCCCGACTCCGCCTCGCACTCGGGCCGTGCTTCGCGGTGCCTGCAGACTGATTCCGAGAGTCGTTTTCGTCGCTCTGTCTCTGTCGCACTCGTGGGGCGTCCCTTATGGGTGCGAGAGAGACAGAGCGACCAAGACGACTCTCGGAATGAGTCTGCAGGGCCTGCGGGCGGCGGCGTCGGTGGCGGGGAGGGGCGAGAGGCAAGGCGTGCTGGCGCTAAGGCTGGCGCGCTGGCAGGCAGGACATCCGCCGCCAAAGTGAGATCCACTCACAGTGAGACCACCGGCGGAAACGCGCGGCCGGGAGGAAACCGAGGAAACCCATAAAAAATAAAATATTATTCGAAGAAAAAGAGAAGGGCGAAGAAGAAAGCGTCGGGAAAATTAAGGAGAGGTTCTTTATTGCAGTTGCTGGATGCGCGGCACGGCGGAGCAATGGATGGCCGCGGCGTTGCGACGCGACCTGAAGGCGGGGCGGGGCGGGGCGGGGCGGGGCGGGGCGGGGCGAGGCGTTCTCCGCGGAGACGGAACCCAGGCTCGCTTTCTCGCTGCAGTAGTTTTCTAAAAAAATTGAAAAAGATCCACCAAAAAGCACGCGACCCCAACATTAATAAGCATTTCTTTCCCGTGAACCGACAGACGCAACAGTCACCTTCGAGTAGCCCCAAGCAATGAACCAAAAAACTGAATTTTGCCTATACAGTTTGAGGTCACGGTCAATAGCTGTCAAATCCTTGCATCCACGCAGTTATTTGTGCGAAGAACCCACTCTCGAACACTGGTTTCCCGCTCTAAGCCCTCTGTACGGGAGCCACCAGCGCAGGCGGGTTGGCGCGCCCGTTTGAAATTTGGCGCGCTTTCGCTCGCAGGCTGGCGGCCGTTGGCAGCACTGCCCGCGCTCGGAGCACGAGGACAGTCGAGCATCGCGCTGCGAGTTGAGTTGTAAACAAACCGCGAACATGGCTCTCTTGACGGACCGGTTGGGATTAAACGATCATGAAGTTTTCCGTAAATTACGACAACATTTGCCGAGCCAACAGACGAAAACGAAGAACTTGATTGTGTGCAATGGTGACATGCTGTTTGCGTGGGATCCAGTGGACGAGTGCCTGCTGACATTGTACCTCGGCTCGCGCGACTCCGGGGCCAAGGATTACCAGGTAGGGTTATGTTCTCCATAATTTTATTGAAATTTAGTCGTTTTACCCGTCTTCGTACCGTTTCTTGGTGATCTGGATCACGCCGCACAAGAAGGAGGTTAGGTTCTTTCACCTTCTCGCGAAACATGGCTGTCTAACCTTCAAGACGACAGTTTCCCGCCAGGCCACTTGTGATATTTGTGCAGCTTCTTTTGAAGTTACAAACGAATCTTCCATCTTTCCTGGGGAAACTTATATTCATGTGTTTTGGAATTGCATTCAGTTTAGTGTGTACGTCATATGTTGAGCCGGAGATACATTTCTCGACAGAAAATGTTGTGTCTCCCGCAACCCAGTCGCTGTTTTATAAAATTTCAAAATGTATTTCTTGAATTGGGACCGTAAGTCATTACTGTGATTCAAAGAATGTATCAGACATCGCCTGTCTATGGTTAATCGTACATTGTATGCTTTATTTTGCACTTAATATGTTATGACACTTGCGTAGGTTAGGAATCACATCGAGTATTATCCGCATTTTGAATAGTCACTCAATCTTGTTCAAAGCTGTCTTTCCACTGTTTTTTAATTTGGTTTTGTTGTTCTAAAGATGAACTTTAGGTGTAGCTAGGTACAATGCTATGTGGGTGCACTATAAATAAAAGTTAAATTCACATTTATTTACTTTAAAGGTAAGAGACTTGCGCTCTTTTTGCTGGTACTTCTTCATTTCCAATGTAACAATATTTTAATAGAACATCAATGTCACCCCAGAGGGAAGGAGAGAGAAGTTTATATGCAACTTCTTTTGTGTTAGGATGATTTCATTTAAAATTAAAGGATAAAGGACATGAGCATGGAATGAGATCAAGTTTTGAAGGTGACCAAAGAGGACGATGAAGGAGAAGCAGAATGTGGGCGAAAGGAAAGATATGAAAGGACGTTGGAAGTGGCACATAGTTTGAGAAGGGAGGATGTGGGGGAGGGAGAGGTGGGAGACAGTTGGCCAGCGCGGCGAGGCTTGGCGCCAGTAACTAGATTACCGTAGTGCCCGTGACCCCCGAGGCTGTCCGGGCGGGGCTGCCAGCTCGGGCTGGCCGCCTGGGCTGCCAGCATGGCCTTGCCGAGGCTTTGACGGTTCAGGCCCAGGGATGGACGTGTCCCTGCGCGCGCCGCCCCGCCCCGCCCCGCCCCGCCCCGCCCCGCCCCGCCCGCCCCGCCCCGCCCCGCCCCGCCCCGCCCCGCCCGCCGGCAAATGACCAACACGGTGGTCACTTCTGGTCAGCCCCGGCTCCCCCTTGAGGCGCCTGTTTACTGAGTGGTCTTTGGCGTCCGTGTTTGGCGTCCCGGCTCCGACGTGGCCGACGTGGCCGACGTGGCCGACGTGGCCCGGCCGCCCTCATGCAGAGCGAGACGGACAACGCGTACGTGTCGGCCGGCTTGACGCATTCCGAGAGTCCGCCGCTGTCTCTCTCGCACTCATGGGGTGTCCCGTGTAGGTGCGACAGAGAGAGACGTGACGGAAACGACTCTCGGAATCAGTCTGCTGGCGTCGAAGCACGCCGGGCCGCAGGACGGCGGGACGGGGCGAGGGGGGAATAGGTCAGTCAGCAGCAGCCAGAGGGACATCAGGAATTATTTAGATTGGCCGTCCAGGCTACGCCAGGCTAGCAGACTTTGCCGCTGCGGCCGCCCAGCGCAAACACCCTGGCTCGGCGGCCCGGACCCGTGGCCCCGGCCCGCCCCGGACCCCGCCGTGGACCCGCGCGCCCCGTGGCTTCCGCCGAGTCGTTACCGTCGCTCTGTCTCCGTCGCACTGACGGCGCGGTCCGCAGCGGTGCGAGAGAGACAGGGCGACGAAGGCGGGGCGCATCCGATGTACTCGGCGAGGTGACGCAGCCGGCGGGGCCGCCACGCCACTGCAATTCAGAAAGAGAGCTAACTGTCGCATTGCAGGCGGTTCGGCGGGGCCGGGGGTGGGGTGGGGCCGCGCGGCGCGGCCTCGCCCGGACTTGATTTGTCTTTCTGTGTTGTGTTTCTTGTTTGATTAGTTTCGTGTTCCCCCACCCCCTCCCCCCCGGCACCGTCCCGCCCCCGCTCCTCGGCGGCGGCGCGGCGGAGGCGGTTTGGGGGTGGGATTTTCTTTTGTGGAATTAGTTCTCCGGAGTGTGTAAAGGGTTTTGGTCACCGGGCGGAATATTTAATTAAGCGCCGCTGACCAGTGGGTTTTGTTTTGGGCCCCCCCCGCCCCGCCCCCCCCCCGCCCCGCCCCGCCCCGCCCCGCCCTAGCTGGACCCTGGCAGCGGCCACCACGCCGGCACGGCGGCGCAGCCCACGCAAATGGCCGGGATGTATTCGGTTCCGTTTCAGCTCCGCTTATGGGCGTGGCATACAAATCAGGCGGGGGCGTTCTGGAGAAAGGCGGGCCGGACACTCCTTGAGCCAGAGGGCGTCCCAGGGCGGGGCGGGGCGGGGCGGGCAAGCGCCGGGGGCAGGGAAGACGTGTCCGGCCTAAGCTCTTTCATTATTTCTCCGAGCTAATCAGCGAGGCGGGGCTTTGTGCGGTAGACAACATTAGAATTAGCCTTGCTGTGTGTGTGCGTGTGTGCGTGTGCCTCTCTGTGTGTCTGTGTATGTGCCTGTGTGTGCTTGTGGTGTGTGTGTGTGTGCTCCTCGCCCCGTGAGTGGCACGCTGTGTCGTCGTTTTGCCGTTTGGCCGTGGAAATTTTGGGCCGGTCTTCCCTCCCGCGGGGACGCCGTTGCGTTGCGTTGCGCCGCGCCCGTGCGCGCGCACCTGGTCTAGCCACGGCACTGTTAGGCCTCCCCCGGGAGTCTCGCTGTCCGTCTCGACATCAGTCCACACCGGCTGCCATCGTTTCCGGATAGTCGACCCCCCCTTTCCCCTGCCCCCCTTTCCCTCCCCCCCCCTTTCCCCCCCCCCCCCTCCCCCCCCCTCCCCCCCCTCCCCTCCCCCTCCTCTCTCCTCTTCCTCCCTCCTCTTCAGGCCGATGTGTGTTGTCCTTCTTACCTGTTGGTGGATTTAAGTTTTTTCTCCAAAGTTTTGATTTTTATTCTCGCCGCTCTTTTCAGTCTTTTCCTTTTAAAGTTATTTAAAAACTTTTCTCGAGTTCGTTAACATGGTCAGCTTGTAATGATTCGTCACTCTTTAAGACTGAAATTTTAATAAAATTTTCTTTACTTTGAAATTTAGAAAATTTTAAATTTTTGTTTTTCTATGTTTTTGAAGACATGTTTTTTTTTTGTTTCCCATTGTGGGTTGCGGGTGCTGGTTGGGAGTGTGCTCAGTGCGCAGCCCGGTCCGGGATCTGGAGGTGGAGGTGGAAGGAAGCTGGGAAAGGCGCGGGGAACGCGTCATCGCACTTCATGCGGCGGCGGTGACGGAAGGGGAGCTATTTATTCCTATGGTTTTCTTCCTCTCTCTCTCTCTCTCTCTCTCTCTCTCTCTCTCTCTCTCTCTCTCTCTCTCTCTCTCTCTCTCTCTCTCTCTCTCTCTCTCTCTCTCCTGACACATACATACATGCACCCAGAGTCGCAGCACACCTTTCGGGGGGCCCCTGCGGCAGAAGGGCCCCGCGCCTCCGGAGCGCTCCGTGCGGATGCATTACTCTTCGACCATCGCACCCGTTTGCGCGCGTCTGTGTGTGTGAACGTGTGTGTGTGTGTGTTTTCCCTCCGCGTGTTTTGCGCGTCTGGTAAGATAGATGCGCCGCTTTTTAGCAATGGCTGAAGGTAGAGACGAGATATCGGCGAATATTGTCGCAGCAGGGCTCTGCCGGGCTGTGCAGAGGGGCCGTTAGGGCCTTGGCGCCTCGCCTCGCCCGGGTTCGATATTATTTTCCGCCCGTCATATTTTTTTTCCTCGTCTCTGTTTGGCCCGGTTATAGGTTCTTTGGGGCCCTTCCCCCGGAGTGGGTGCGTGGGGAGCGTCGCGCGAAATTGTGTCGTGGATGTCTCCTCGGGGATGGTCTGATTTACTCGGCTGAATCCTTGGCAGGCTGTGCTCGGGTACCGGCCCTGCTCCACAGTGGGCCGGAAGACCGGCGCCGGCGGCCAAAACTCAAGACGCGTTTTGAGCTCCAGAGTCGCTAAATGGGGCTCGAACCGAGCGTGTGACCCCACCAATGGATTCCTCGTCCGGAGAGCAATCCATTGGTGGGGTCACACGCTCGGTTCGAGCCCCATTTAGCGACTCTGGAGCTCAAAACGCGTCTGGGATTTCGACCGCCTCCACCGGTCTTCTGGCCCACTGTGCACCCCGCGGTGAAGGCGACGCACGGATGGACGGATAAAGACAGCGTGAGAATGCCGGGAAAGTAGCGACAAAACGCGCCACGCACGCCGTGTTTACATATTTATAAGGCTGTTGTATGTAACTGTAAAATGGCTTTTTATGGCGCCCTAACTTCCCGACAGAACTCCATTCGACCGCTATGCAAAGTTTGACGCGTGCTCGCTGGCGCGGCGTGGCGAGGCGAGGCCCAGTGCGTGGTAGGGGCCGTGTCGCCGATCGCGCCAGGAAATGTAGGTCAGTTGTGGGATTTTTAGCAGATGATACCTTTACTGCTTCAAAACATACCTAGAACAATGCAAGACACATAAAGGTGTCAGCTAGCTTTTACTCGAGAGTCCAGAAACCAAATAATAGGGGCTGGCTGCCGGCCGGGGCGGGATAGTGAGTGAGGCTTGTGAGGCACAGTCACAGGCACAGGGAGAGAAACTTGAAATTAAAAACTTGAAACTCGAAGGGTTGGGCCGCACCGTAGGACCGCTACCTGCCGGGCTGAACCACCATCACTAGGGTCGAAACCTCGTCCGGGGAAAGAAGCTATAACTATACGGTGGGGCCAGCGCCGCCGGCAGCGACCCTTCTAAGCGCTCGGTGGAACATTACTTGAGAATAGAGACGAATGACGAATGAGAGAAGTATTCTCCTGTAATGTTTCTTGCCATAAGCAATTAGAAAATTTCTGTCGGCGGTGACTGAGCGTGACCCAAAGGGG